ATGTAACTTTCCTACCTCTGTTATTTCTCATTATTGCAATCACAGCAAATACCATTTCCTGTTGCTTCAGATACTCAATCAACAACCACTCTCCTGCTTTCTTTTTCCTCCGCTCAGTTGTGTTTCAGGTTGTCTCCTCATTACTTTTTAATATATATACTGTATTAGGCTGCACATTGGGAAATGATCATCAAAAGTATATGCAACAGTTAATTTATAACTGGTCAAACATGTGTTTATTTAATCCACCAAAAATGTGAAAAACAGATTGATATTTTTGGGTGTTCTTTATTTGCCTCATGACTGAAGCTACAAAGTTTCTATATCCATGGTGGGCAAGCGCTGAGGTGAAAAATAAATCTTACAAAATCTCTGACTCCAGGAAGAGGGGTTTTACTGAAACCACAAAATATTTCAAGTCTCTCTATAAACTCTCCATAAAAATTGTAACCTTTTTGTAACACTGACTCAATAACAATGTGGTCCAAGTAATTTTTGTGCCTCTGAGGTATTTTGTTTCCTCAGCCCCCAGGTGCAATAAACATTAATTTATCCAAATGTTCTCTCTTAAAATTGCATGGTTTTCTTCTCTGCGAGCTACTGTTGTCAAAATAGTGACAGCAAGACAATTAGTAATGCAGAAAAAAAGTTGCATCTGCTTATACCATATCTCAAAAGAGGTTTCTAGAACTCCAGACTCTTTTGATTGTAATATGGCGGTTGCTATGGAGACCCAGCTTCAAATTCTCATTCTGCCCAATAAACTATATCATGACCTCTGAGCCTAAACTACTTCACAGGTGAGAGAGGAGGTGAGTAGGTGAGAGAGGAGAAGCGTGTATGATGTCTTGATCTCCTTGAGGAAATGTCAGATAGAAATAAAGTACTGTATAGATTATTTTCAGACTTTTAAATGGCTAATTTAAGTCTTACAGATTTCAAATGTTGTACTCTGTAGTCAGACTGCTAGATCTAGACTCTAGACAGGGATGGCTATAGGGAACATGTAACAACAGCTTAACTTAGACCATTTCTAGGGCTACAGTTCATGTTACATTTAAAATAATAATAATTGTATTAACTAAACTCAAATTACTATAACAGAAAAAGGCTGACAAGCAAGACAAGTTGCTATACAAACATTTCCCATAGAAACTATATAATGAGAAGAGTTACTTTTTAAGCTAGTGCTGGATAAGACAACTTTGTTATTGCCTCCAGTAGCAGAGGCAGAATGCCTCTGTGTATCAGTTGCTATAGAACACAAAATGGAGGATGCAGTTGCACTCATGCTCTGCTGGTGGGCTCTCCAGAGGCAACTTTGTGAACAGAAGGTTGGACTAGATTGGTCTCAGTCTGATCCCACATTTCTAGTTCTATGTTAAGTCAACACAAAGATGGAAGAATCAAGAACATTTTTGAAAGAACTCTGGGGACGGGGGCAGAATTTAATTAGGCAAGCAAATACAAAAATGGTTGTAACATCTACTCACAACCTTCTAGTAACAGAAAAAGTTGAAATATGCTAATAGAAGAAGTTGAAATGTGTTAATATAGTGTCAAGGAATAGACATAAAAAGAAGTGTTGTGGCATGTTAAAGACAAAAAAGTTTTACTTGGCACAAGCTTTCGTGGACTGCATGGAGCATAGCCTCAGTAGACAGTCATTTGTACAAGCACTGGTTATACAGACTGAAATATTAACTGGTATAGCTAATATTATTAAAGTTATCTAAAACTTGGAAAGTAAAGTTTCAGAATTAAGAGGAACCTGACCATCCTCCTGTAGTTTTAAAAACACTGGCCAAAATCATGCTGCTAAATAGCGCATGCATAAGAGCAATTGGCCAAATGTATTCTTGCATTTTGCTACCTACCATGAACTAGTTGTGCAACTGGGTGCACTACCAATAGCAAAACATGAGCATCTCTGAGCTTGCAACACAACTGGGCACCACTTGAGCAATTTCTAGTTCATTGTACAGAATACCAGCAGAATTCAGGCCCACTGTATTTTAAGTTGCTCTGCTTACTTTCAGGCCAATTCTAGATAAATAAACTTACAACTTTAACCAGCAAAGACAATAGCAAGTGAGCTATATTAAAGTTGTAGTGCAACAACTTGTAGTTCCATGTCGAGGACAAACAATACATTTCCTATTCCTGCTTTCTATACTACTAAGCATACCAAGGATTTCAGTCTTAGTTGTGGTCAAGGGTAGTGGTGTGCTGGAAACTGTGTTGAAACCCTATTAACATGGATTTTGATATTACCTGGTGGCCCCCTTGGGCTTCCTTGTCCTCTCTATGTTTAGCCACCATCCTCATGGGAAAAAACTAAGAAATTCATTTTGCCAGGGACAGTGTGTTTTTGCAAGTTATGCCCATGATAATGGAAAATATTTCAGAGTGGTTTGGATTTGAATTTGCAGTTAAGAGCCATTAAATTCACAAAAGACCTGCATGGAACAACTGAGCTGCTTGTATTTTTGGATAGTCCAGGAGGGAAGACAGCTGGCTTCAATTACTGTCAATGGTGAGCACCTGCAGTTCTAAATTTACTACTGTTAAAGGCCACAATCATAGGCATTTTATTCCCAAGAAATATGCCTTGAAAACACATCCAGTTGGAACTTACATTTGTTTATGAATGAGCATTGTGCATTTGCTGGATAGTCTGGCTGCTGTTTTGTCTACAACATATTGTGAAAAAAAAAGCTTTGTTTCATTTCATTAACATGAGTTGCAACAACTTTTTTCAATTGTTTCACACCTGGAATATTAAATCAGCCAAGCAATAGCTTGGGGCCAAAATAACCAGTCTTTGGTTGGCTATGATGAAATACTGGACATAATGCAATAGAGCAATTTGAACTGCTCAAATAAAATAATGTTGCATAAAATAATGCAACAACATAATGTAATAGCAACAATAGATATGTTAAGTTACTGGATTTATGTGGTGAATAGAGATGGAGATGAACCACCAAAATGGCAGTTTGTTGTGGTTCATCAACCACAAATTTACCCAGGCTTTTTTTTTTTTTTTTTGGACAGCCCATGGCAGAAAGAGACGGCTGGAATTGTTCCAGCTGGCTAGCCTGCTCTCTTTGCCTCTGCATGCACTGAGCCTTTAGAGCCAGATAAAGCTTGCTGGAACCGTTCTGTCAGGCTAGCCTGCTCTCTTTCTCTCTCTGTGTGCCAGTCAGCTGATTGGTGCACACAGAACCAGAGTAGGCTAGCCTGCCAGAACGGTGGTCTCCATTCCGGCAGCCTAGCTTCTGTTCTGGTGGAGGTGGTAGTGCAGCAGTTGCAGGACAAGGTAGGGAGGTGACAAGTGCAGTGGGAAGGGGGTGGGGGGCAGGCTGTGGGGGCAAAGAGATTGGGACTGCTGAAGAGCTGTTTGATGGGCCCATAGGCAGAAAGAGCAAACTAGGCTGCTGGAATGGCCGTTCTGGCAGTCTAGCTTGCTCAATGGGCCCAATGAAGAGACAAATAAAAAGGGTAAATATTTGTCACTTCATATTCATCGAGGCCATCGGAATATTACACTAATCAGCAATTTCTGACAAATAACACGATTCATGTTTTTATTTGTTCTCATGTCTGATGGTGAACACTGACTGCCATTAAAGAGCATAATAAAGCAGAAGCCTTTATGCTCTGATCTGAAACCAGAGGTTCTGGCTGAAATCCAGTAGCAGATCACAACTAGAACAGGCCCATTGAACCAGGAGGGATGTGGTGAATCAACTTCTCCTTAAGTTCCACTGATTCAGTGGCCCTACTGTAGTTGTGACCTACAGTACTAGTCAATTTCAGCCAGGGAATTATCAGGGAAGACTGCACAACATATTCACAAGCATATTCTTTTGAAGAATAATCTTCTGAAGAATCTGGTTTTAAAAAGCTACAGTGAAAACATCTGAAAGAAAGAATAACTCAAGAATAGATGGGACACCAATAGAACTATTTCAAGCTATAGAATTTGAATCTATCATAGGATGAAAATTGGTGGACGAAAAATCAATATAATACTGTAATTGAATATATTAAAATGGCAATATTATTGGCAGAAAGGAGCAATGGCTTGAAACTACTGCTAATGAACATAAAAGAAGAAAGCACAGAAGTAAGATCTTGAATTTCAAGAAGACAGAGATCATTATTATGGAAGGATCATATTACTTTTAATGCTGACAATGAAGAAATTTGACTTTAATAAGGTTTTGTATCCCTTAGTTCAGCCATCAGTCCAAATGGAGACTGCAGCCAAGAAATCAGAAGATAAAGACTTGGAAGGACAGTGATACAAGAATGAGAAAAGATCTTAAGTGTAATGATGTCACTGGAGACTCATGCCAAGATCATCGATACGATAATATTCCCAATTAATGTTGGGAAAGCTGGACAGTAAAAACAATCTGACGGGGGGGGGGAATAAGTTCATTTCGAGCATGTGCTGGAGGACACATATACCTATACTACAGATCACCAGTTTAACAACTGGCTATTAGATCAAAGCGATCCCAAACTCTAGAAGAAGAAAAAAATGACTAAACTGAGCCCATCGTACTTTGGGCACATCACGAAACAGCAGGGCTCGCTAGTCAAGACTACAATGTTGTGGGACGGCTTGAAGGCACCAGAGAGACAGGACCGAACGTAAGATCGATTAACTCCGCAAAGGATGCCTAGAGAGCTTGCAGGATCCGACCAGGGCTGTTAACCAAAGGCCCTTTTTGGGCGTCACTAATTCATAAGGTAGCGACAAGTCAGAAGCAACTTGAGGGCAATATAACAGCAACAGTTGGGGATCTCCCGGGGTGAGTCGTCCCCTCTTCCTCCATGCCAGGGCTAGTCTTTGGGGACAGTGGCTCTACAAAGAGCCTCACAGCAGAGGGGGCACCTCCGAAGCTCAGTCACTCTCGCTAGTTATGGAGGTAGACGCTCCCACTTTTGCGCCTGAGCACGGCACAGTCCGCGCCGTAGCATCGTGAGCGCAGACGCAGCGCCCCTCAGAGCGAGCGACGGCGAGGAATCCCTTCTTAGCCAGTCTATGAAGAGTCGGGGATAATTCACGAGAGGAGGAAGGCGGGGCCAAGGGCGGCGCTTTAGGGGCAAAGGTTCGCCGCGTCAACATGGCGTCCTCCGTGGAACTGAACTGCTGGGGTGGCGACTGGGGCTTGCCGTCCGTACACGCCGAGTGTCTCGTTGTCATGGTAATAGCTAGGTTGACGGGTTGTGCGGACGGAGGCCGGGATGCTACGGGCTGGGCTGGGGCGAGGGCTTTAGGGATCGCTGGGGTGGGGAAAGCGGTTGTTCCCCCCTGGTTTTATCGCAGACATTTCCAGTGTTGTTGACTGACCAGAAAAGCTTCAGAAAGTATACATTGAAAAAAGGACGCCTTTATAAAGCCTTTATAAACCATATCTCAAATGCCATATAGAAATATGGGAAGTAAATGTAAAGCTTATTACGATATACGTGCCTAGAGTTAAGCTCGCTGCGTTAAGTGGAGGTGATGTGAATGAGGTGTTCTCAATGACATGGTCATTGGCATCAAATTCACCCTGAGGGTGTCCCCAGAATTTGTGTGCCTGAAAGGCTGTGTGCCTTTGCAAAAACTAAGCACGAAGGCCTATTGCACATTGTGGTGTCGACATCTGAGAAGACACCTATACATGTGCACAGTAACTCGGGTCTTTCGATCTGAAAATGGGATACTGTAATAGGTACAGCCCCAGCATCAGAAAGATTAAACCGGAAATCTTCGCACAGGAAGAATTTTGTGACAAAAAAATATTTTCATTTACATGCTTCCAAATTGATTTAAAAATAAATAAATAAACAAATCCTGTGTTTCACATTGGAAGTGAGGAGAAGAATAGGAACTGATTATTATATAGAAATTTTCATTCCTTTGAGACCCGGTTCCCACAATGAGATTTGAAAACAATGGAACAGTTATTCCTATTTTTACATGTGGACATACAAATTTTTAGGAGGAAGCAAACTGGTATGTTTAGGGAGTCATAATCTGAGAATATGCAAGTTCCCTGCATTTTTAATGTTGGTTTTCCATCACATGTTTGTGAGGGTTCGACTAGACTCCTTTCTTCGTTCAAATAAATCAAGATATTTTTGTGGTTTAGAAACAGGGGTGATGTTTATTGTGTGTTCAACAGGTAAGCGATGCCAAAAAAATTATTCCAACATTTCTCTCCTCCTGACAATGGGTCAGCAAGGGGCTTCCATTCTTCATTTAGGAACGGGTTCCCTTTTCCATTGTTTTCCAGTTCCCTGCATTTTTAATGTTGGTTTTCTGTCACATGTTTGTGAGGGTTCGACTAGGCTCCTTTCTTCTTTCAAATAAATCAAGAGATTTTTGTGGTTTAGAAACAGGGGTGGTGTTTATTGATGTGTTCAACAGGTAAGCGATGCCAACAAAATTATTCCAACATTTCTCTCCTCCTGACAGTGGGTCAGCAAGGGGCTTCCATTCTTCGTTTAGGAACGGGTTCCCTTCACCCGAGTTCCACAGACCCAGCAGCCAGTCTATCGATATGTTCATGTTCACCATCTGTCCTGTCTCACCTTCCAGCAGGGGACGTCCCGGACGCCCGCCCACACGGTGCCTCCCTTGGATGTGTGGGTCTTCCAGGGTCCTCCCTGTACCCCATCCTCCTCATTTCGCTCACCCTCCATTCAAGCCTCTCATTACTGTCTCTCTTTCTTCCCTTAACTTTCTCTGCCACTCTCTGGCTTCTGCTTCTCCCCAATAAGAAGGTCTCGAGGGAATTTCTCTCCTCTTTCTATAATCCGCCTCCACTTTTGGGACCCTCAGTCTTTCCCACGCTCCGGTCCAGGGGTCCTCCATCCAGACCCATTCCCACCCTGGTGCTAACTCCTACTCTCTCCTCCTCATATCTGCCAACATCGCCTCTATCCCCACCCTCTTCTTCCGGTCTATTCCCACTGTTTTTCCCTGATTTCCTCCAACAGTTCATCTTTGTATTTCTCCTTCTATTTCCCGGGTATCTGCCCCTCGCTGTTCTGCTCTCTTAGGATATAAGGCGGGCAGGGTCTGCATTTCTTTCTTGGTTGTAACGGGGAGGGATGGCACTCGGGCAAGAGAGCTATCACTCTCGCCCCTGTCTCACAGTGTTGCTATGTCATAGCATGGAGTGGAGACACTTTAAAGCAGTGGTTCTCAACCTTCAGTCACCAGATGTTCTTGGACTAAAACTCTCAGAAGCCTTCACCACTAGCTGTGCTGGGGAGGATTTCTGGGAGTTAGCTTAATCAAGCAAAATAAATATTAACTATTACTGTGAGCCAGGAGTGGACAACTTTGGTTGATCTTCCAGTCTATTTTCTGCCACCCACCTGCCAGATCCTCTGGAGCATGCACAGACTGCCAGAAATACCAAACAAAATGAAAGCAGAAGTGGCTAGAAATGAATTTCCAACTTTGAAAAATGGCAATCTCCAGCCTTTGGAACTCCCTCCCAAGGGAAGCCAAGGTGGCCCATTCCTTGCTATCCTGCTAGCAATCAAAGTCATTTGTGTTCACCCAGGCTTTTTAGAAAGTGTTCGGTGGATATTGTACATTTTTACCTTCTTAAATGTGTTTTTTAATTATTTTAAGTATTTTTAAAAATTCAGTTGCTGCTTAATATGCAGTTTGTTCAATTAAAAAAGGTGTAAATTTTAACTGTGTTTGTCTTTTAAATATTTTATATACAGTCTTGAGTACATTGAGAGACAGACAGAATATAAATAAAATTTATTATTATATTCAATGAAAGTTAATGTATTAAATGGTGCAGAGGGATACTGTAGTTGTTTATTTGAAATGTGTATTACCATTTTTGAAACTATTCATTACTGCTGTTTGTCTTTTCTGTCAAAGAAGTGGGGGAGAGTGGAGATCACAAAAACATTGCTGTCTTAGACATGGTATTCTGTATATGTGAATATGAGCCTAACTCAGGGACAGAATCCATACAGCTTTCTTGTCACATTTTGCCCCAGAGTTGTTTTTTCCCCTGAGCACACCACGGGAAAAAATACACCAAAGCATATCAGTTTAAACAAAATAGAGAACTGTATCTTCAATCCACATTTATTTGTGGCCATCCTATGGTACACAGCAACATAGATTTGATAAAATATACCTGTGGCTTTGACAAACTTTAGCACTGTCCATTTTAAGGGGGCATTGCAGATGCACTTTGCATACTTGTTTGCTTTGTGTGTGCATATCAGTTTCCTCTATTTCTCAATTATTCCTTCACTTATTTATAGTAAATACTTGCAAGTTAGTTTCTACAGCATCTACATTAGTTCAAACTCAGGAATATCCTTGTTGATATCCAGATCTCTAGAAGTTGAAGGCACATACATCAGTTCGTCTTTCTTTCTTTCTTTCTTTCTTTCTTTCTTTCTTTCTTTCTTTCTTTCTTTCTTTCTTCCTTTCTTCCTTTCTTTCTTTCTTTCTTCCTTTCTTCCTTTCTTCCTTTCTTCCTTTCTTTCTTTCTTTCTTTCTTTCTTTCTTTCTTTCTTTCTTTCTTTGACAAAAAGTCCAGTAAGGGCTTCCAAATAGTTCTAAAGTTGGTCAATGATCAATTAACACTGACAACTTTGGTAAATTATTGCAACGGTAAATTTTGTATCAAACAAAGGGAAGTTCTATAATATCTTTGTGTTAAACTGATTTGCTCCTGTCTGCTCCCCTAGCACCAGTGCGTCCTTTATATAATTCTTTTTAATCACAATATGTTTTTAAAGGAAGAAAGTTCCTTTATTTCTGAATCCAGGTCAATCAGTTTTAAAACGAGTAATGTCTCTTAGTTCTTGACTGTATGAAGAACAGATGTCCTGTTGAAGTAAATTGTTTAGTAATTCTGACAGTTGAGTAGTATTTTTCTTTAGGCATCCTTCAGTCTTGAGAGATGTGCTCTGTATTGAGGACTTGGAACAGCATCTAGTGTGGCTGAAAAGGCCAATTCGAGAGTGACAATCCCTTCCACACTGAAGACAAATACAATCTGTCCCCTGTCCAGCTCCCTGATTTTGCTGCTTCTGGGACTGCCTCTTGGCCTTGGCCTGCTGGATAAGGGTCTCTTCAAATTGGGAGAGGTCCTGACGCACCACCTGCCTCCAGGCTGAACGCTCAGATGTCAAGGTTTCCCATCTGTTGAGGTCTATTCCTAAGGCCTTCAGATCCTGCTTGCAGATGTCCTTGTATCGCAGCTGTGGTCTCCCTCTGGGTTGATTTCCCTGCACTAATTCTCCATATCATAGCCTTTATTATGGTAAAAGCATGGTACAGTTATACCTCCTGAACACTGAGGGATGGACCCAGCTATAAGATGTTTCTTGATCCGTTACAATCTGTTTTCATGTCTGAATACTGAAGGGTAAATCACTGACTATATTTATCTTTGCTCTTTTGTTACAGGCTTATGCTAGGTTTTCTCATGCACCATTGAAAGTGAACATTGTTGATCATTCATGGAACGCACCAAGAGGTATTGCTTTGCCATTTTAAATATGCATAACAGCTTTTAAAACAATAATTACCTATACACTTCAAGAAATTGGTTAGGCCTAATTCACAACCTAGTCCTATAGTCTGTTGTTCAAAGCAACCCAAAGCAAGCTGCTTTGTGTCCTTTTAAAGAGAAAGGTAGAGTAAAAAAATTAAATAAATAATAACCAGATGATAGGTCTGTATTAGTCAGATTTTTTATAGTACTATGTATTGCATTGATGCAGCAAAACACATAAACTGTTACACTAATACAGCAACTGAGGGTGGTGCAAGATCTTGTATGAATCAGATGTGGGCATATGGGGAATGATGGTATGATGAAGTGACAATGCTAATTATATTTTGACAGTAAAATCAAAAGCCAGCTGTTTATACCTGTTGTAATACTATAACTTTTTTAAAATTAGCAGAAATGCAAATATGTACAGGCCTATTAAGATACTGTTGCATCACATACAGTGGGGTCTTGACTTAAGAACGACTTGAGTTAAGAACATTTTGACTTAAGAACCGCTCTCATAGGAAAATATTGACTTGACTTAAGTACTTAGATTTGAGTTAAGAACTGAAAAAAAACCACGTGGGAGGCAGGGAAAGTGCAAAATGTGAACTTTCAGTTAACTGTTGGCCAGTGAAAAGGGTGCCTGTCTGCTTCCTCACTCCTCCCAGCGTTTAGAGAGTGGATTGGGAGACAGTCTTCTTGAGAACCGCCTTCCAATATGAATTAAGTTCTCAAGTCAAGACCCCACTGTACATGAAAATCTGGACCAACAGCCCTTGCTTTTGACCTGATTAGATATCTCCTGTGAGCAAAAAGAGTTCCAATTAGTTCCCATTACTGTTGTTTTTTTAATGTTCTTGATTTCATGCTGAATAATATTAACATCAAATTCTTCATGTTTAGGGAGTGTACCATTATTGATATCAGATGACACTGTTATTTCTCAGCCAGCAAAAATATTAAACTTCTTAAGAAAAGAGGTAGGTTTTCATAACTATTAACCCATGTCTCAATACATGTAAAGTTTTTTTTTGGGGGGGGCTTCTTTTGTACAGGATTAATTAGTACCCGTACATATAGTTCTCCAGCTAGGGCTTCTCTGGAATCTCTCTTGTTTGAGGTATAAAACATCAAAATGTGTCTCCTAATAAATCAACAATCTCATACTAAAGTAACACAAGAGAGAGTCAGGGAAAGATTGTGCTTGGTTTCAATTGTGGACTGTCTCACAATCAGTTCCAGTAGTGAATTATAGTAAGTACTTGCAAGTTAGTTGCAACACTTGTCCATGGGAAAAGTTGAAATGTGCTCCCATAAATCTCCAATTTTTCAGATTCTCTTTATACAATACGGAAGCCAAACAGGAGCACAAAAAAATGTTTATTAACCTTGTACATCTATTAGAAGAATGAAGGTGGTGTTTTGTTTTTTTTGTGATGTGCTTTTTCTGTTCTTCTCTGTCACTAAATACACCTCATATTCTAAAATCACATTTTAAATATATAAATATGAGTAGCTGATGTTAATATGAATTTGTGTAGACATTGCTGAGCCTAGAATTAGGTGTCTGTAAGGCTGACTACAACAGTGTTCAGCCCACTGCTTGGTCTGCTATAGGGACAGACTGGTTTGCTCCTGAAGATGGTAATCAAACAAAATCTTTGCTGGAGCGAACCAGCCCACCTCCAGAGTAGGCCTATATGCACCTTTCTGAGCCCCCGTTAGGGGCTTCTACTTTTTTTTGGTGGGGGTTGGATTGCTCTGTTTTGGTCTGTTTCCAACACATGTTATTGTTGGAAACAAATTGAAAGTGATCCTCTAAGGTGCCAATATTGTGAAGTGGCTTAAGACAGCCACTTCAGGATATGGGCAAATGAATCACTTCCTTGGCTCCTTGGAGGTGCTAAGGAAGTGGGGGGGGGGAATCAAAGTGTAGTGTATTAGGGCAACAAATGTGCACTGCACCGCTTAAAAAACCCGAAAAAAACAAATGGAAAGCTTCCCGCCCCGAAAGCTTTTGTTCGCTTTTCTTTTAAAGATCTGGTTAAGAGTCTGCTTAATTCAGCTGCAGGCAGGCTCTCAACCTATTTTTTTTTTTCATTTCCTTGGCCCCTCCATGGACCTGAGGAAGCAATTAATTTGCCATTTCATAATATGAGCAAAGGCTGTGAACTAAATAAGGTCGTTTGACGTCTCTGTGTCATTTGTGTGAGGACTGCATGAAATGGCATTCTGAACCTCCTAGTGATTCTATTTATGATTCTATTTATCCATCCCTGTCTTTCACACTATGTAGTCCAGTAATCACACTGGCATTGCATTTCACAACATTGAGTTAAAGGAAGTGTTCATATTGTAATTTTATTGTTGTCCTATATGTTTTGTGCAGTAGAGAATGTATAAGTATTCAGCTTTATAAGGACCCTCAGTTTTAGTTTTAATTTTTCTCTTTGAAACATTTCATATGACTGCTGCATGTTTTTCTTCTACTATCAGAAGTATAATGCTGATTTTGAACTATCTGCAAAAGAAGGGGCTGATACACTGGCCTATATTGCACTTCTTGAAGAAAAACTACACCCTGCAGTGGTAAGAAACAGTTTTTATTTGTAACCAAAATTAATGCTTTGGGGTACAAGCTACCCTAAATCAAGCAGATGGTTAGGTTGCTCACTGACATTAGTGGGACTTACGTTTGGGTTGCACTTTCTGTGTGTGTTTACAATGAGAAGTTTAAGTAAACAACATTGACTTAGGGAATCCATGATCACTGTTAAAATCAGGTCCCAAATCAGCATTCAGATTTGAGACATTTTAGCAGAACATTGAATATCAGGTTATTTCAGTAACCAAAACCTCAAGCTGCTCCTCCTGTGGTGGTTGCTGTTAAGGTTTTGGGCCCATTTTTTACAGATGTGATGGCAAACCTGTGTATGGCTTGTACCAGTTTAAATAGCAGGTGGAGGCTCACATGATTGTATATTCTTAAATAAAAATGTTAAAATCTCTAAAAAGAAAGCAAGAAGTTGATAAGAAGGATGCTACCACTTGTGTCACTGAAACATTGATGTACCATGTTTCTGAGGATCAAGTTGGCTTATATGAAAGTCATCATAATCAAACAAAAAAACCAAAGTAAAATTAATATAGAAGCTACAAAATATAACTCATTAGTCAAATGCCATTAGCTAAATAGATGCGTCATGCACGTTTTAAAACGTCATGAGAGATAAACAGCTACAGACCTCTCTAAGGCTTAGCATTTTCTCTGATAAGCCATCTTTTTTTAAAATTCTGAAATATGCAGAAGTACAAAAACTACAGAAAAAGGAAAAAAATCATACATTTCATATATATCAAGGACAATTGACAGTCCATTTACATAGTTTATATAATCTTCTTATAACCTATATAACATATAGATGTTAAAATAAGGTTATATAAACTCTATACTATATATATTATTCTAAACAGTGTCATATTTTATTTTTTGTTAACATTTTAGAGTGAACTCTATGCGTTTTATGTAGTACTTTTTGCAAAGTTGGTTCTATACACCTTCAAATTATTTATAATGGACAAAATAGTTTCCCCACTTTTTCAAATTTTCTAACTGGCTGTGACAGACAGGTGAGGAACCATTCCTGTCCATCACAATGGAACCCTGATTCAGGAGCCAATGACTGTACAGAAAAGGCGGGACTAGGGATATATAAGAGAATGGATGACAGTTAAAGAGCAGTTAGTTTTGGAGTTAGAGAGGACTTCAGTTAGGGATGAAGTAGGGACCTCAGTTAAAGAGAAGAGGTGAGGCAGTTAGGACCAGTCTTGTGTTAGTAAAGAGTAATAGAGAGATAGGGAAAGAAATGAATAAGAAAAGAAATGAATAAATACTTGTACAGTGGTGCCTCGCTTAACGAGCGCACCGTACAACGAAGAATCCGTATAGCGATCCCTTTTTGGGGATCGCTATACAGAGCTGCCCCAATCGCTGCACTCGCTTTGCGACGATTGGGGCGTCCAGCGGCCATTTTGGAGCCGCCGATCAGCTGATTGGCGGCTCCAAAATGGCCACCGGACCGTGAAAACATCGCTGGAGGGGTAAGTTTGGGCGCCTATTGGAACGCATTAAACTAAGTTTAATGCGTTCCAATAGGCTTTTCCTGCCCCGTACAGCGATGTTTTCGCATAGCGAAGGTTAATCCAGAACGGATTAACCTCGCTATACGGGGCACCACTGTATTGACATGATTCTACATAAGCAAATATAAATGTTACTAAAGCACAGTTGATTGATTAAATGAAATAAGACCATCCATGATTTACTTTATATGATTTACTTATGAACACTTTAATAAACTTTGTTTGATTGAATAACACTGATTGAAGAATCAAATTTGATGTATTGAGGAGTTATTCCTCTGGTGGCAGTGGAAAAAAGGGTTGAAAAATAAATGTCACACCCGAAAGTGAACCTGGGTTGTGTGGAAAAACAAACAGGGGAATGTGTGCGTGACGCTGGCCTTCTGTTTACAGAATTTGTGAGTTTTGCCGTTGTGGCATATTCAAGCATTTTAACTCTCCAGTCTTCTTTCATTGGCTATGTTTCCATTTTCTACTTTGTTGCTATTAGTACTGTAGCTTCTGCTAGCATACTGTATAATTGAAAAGTTCTTGTGAAGATTTTCCTAAATTATCTGGTGTTACTCCCAAGACCATGGTCTTTGGTTTCATTTCAATTTTAAAATCATTTGCATTTCAGAATGAATGTATTTCCAGAATTTATTTCTCTTTTTGCAAGTACATGACATGTGGTAGTGTGGACCTTCAACCTCTTGGCACTTCAAACAGAGACCTGGATAGATTTTGTCCATAATTTTTATGTCTTTTGGAGTTCTATACCATTGATGATACATTTTGACAGGCCATCTTCTTGGCCTTTGTTAAGATTCAGTAGCTTTTCTATGTCTATTTTCCTGATTGCTGTTCATGAAAACAAGGCCTATGACACTGTAAAAACTCAGCTAACAGATACAGAAGATTTCAAACTCAGTCTGAATGTGTAATTTCAAATTTGATACTTCCACTGCCCTAAAATACTGCTAGTGTAGCTGGATAGCTCTGTGCAGCAGGAGTCAAATTTCTTTTTTATGACAACAAATACAGTGACTGCAGAAGAATTCCCCCTCTTGGATGCACAAGACGATGGAAATAGAGTCATAATCTTAAATGCAATTTTCAGCAGCTTATGTGTAGGGATACAGAGAACTATTTATAACAGGCATTGCAGAGAAGTAAAGTAGAACAACAGGAAATGAAAAATAAGAAATCTACTCTGTAAGATCAAATAAGTCAATGTAAAATTTAAATCAAGGTTAGGGATGCGGAAAAATCAGCAGGAGAATATAGTTTCTGATCAAGATAAAATAAAGAAAAGATCAAAATAATACATTCAAGAACTATCTAGAAGAGATGCAAGGAAGAAGAATCTCTGAAGAACCTGCAGTTTTAGAAAGTGGTCAAAGCTGCTCTGAAATAATACATTAGCTACTTGAGGATTTAAGAAGAAAATCAGTTTATAGGTTACAAAAAAGCCTTTGACTAGGTGGATAGTGAAAAGCTAGGAATCATTTTAAAAGATATGTGTGTGCATCTCAACCTTTGATTGTCTTGATATATAGTGTATAGCTTGGACAGGAGCTTCGTGTTAGGGTAGAATCTAAAGAAAAAGCAGGCTTTCCAAATGACAAACCTGTCAAACAAGGGTGTATTTTCTCTCCCCACCCATTCAAGCTATAGGCAGAACATGTCATACAGAAATCTGGGTTAGATTCTGATGCAGGAGGAGTGGAATGAACTTCAGTAATTAAAGTGGAATATTTGGTGGAATACACATCAACCATTTATGATATGCAGATGATACCCTATTAATTCATAATTATTAATCATGACTTGATGGCATATACCCCAGCAGTTGAATGGAATATTTCATGTACTTATTATCTTTTTTGATTATCTTTGGTCAGTCAGTTTCAATTCTGTGCTGAAGCTCTGGGCTTTGTGCATAAGACTGAGTGGGTGGGTAAGCCAGTGATTATAAATTCAGTCATAGCTGGGTTTTGAGTCTGATGATCAAACAACTGTTTCAGTACTAGAGCTGCCTACTTAGCTTTTTAAAAATCTACTGATGCACAAAAATTGGAATATGGGAGTCTTGTGTTCATTTTGAATGTTAATGTTCTTTATCATCATGCTGTAGCTGTACACTTTCTGGGTTGAAGCTGATAATTACTACAATGTGACAAAACCATGGTTTGCTTCAAGGATTCCATTTCCATTGAATTGGTATCTGCCTAGAAAAATGTCCAGGGAAGCACTTAATAGGATCTTGCTGACAAAAGGTGGGCCTCCACTATACACGATCACTGAAGTGGAAGCACAGGTATGTTTTGCTTACAGATTTGTTTTGTTTGACTGTTCCTTTGAGAATTTATTTTACGAGTAATTGAGCTCTAACATTCATGCAAGTGTACTGTTATACACTTAAAATAATGCCTGTGAACTTGTAAAAAGTATCTAAAAAAACAAAAATATACTCATAATCTGTCTACTATCAACCATTTGTATCCTAGTCTATTTTCCACTTTACATGGCTCTACCCACTTCCTGTTTTTTCACTGTATGACCTCCCTGTTCTGATATTTTGTTGGAAGACAGGGATCTTGTGTTAATTACATCTGCTGTGACCATCTCATGGAATAGTTATAGCACTCTAGTATATGCAGGACTGTCTCTGACAACTGCTCAGACCCTTTTGTTGATAGAGAATGTGTCAGACCAGAGCAGAGAGACTGAATAAATAATACCAGTTTTTTTCTATCTGCAGAGACTTAACACATTTGTTCAATGGTACAATTTAAGAAGTTAAACTGTAGTGCCTTTTGGAAACCCCTCTGGCACTGATTCTGTCCTCAATCTGAAACTAAATTAAAATGTTGCTATTCATGCAAGGTTTAAGATTAATAGTACTGCTATACTGTTATTTAAAGTGTACTGTTGTTATATGTCCACTATGTAAGTGCATACTATATTTACAACTATAACTTTGGATCTTCCTTAAGCTAGGATGAATTATGTGGTATGCATTATACACATGGATTCTTGGCTGTCCATCAAACAGACATGGCATTAATTTGCATATAAAATTTCTAGGACAGATCTCTTCAAATAAGCTTTGATTTCTTCCTTTTAGATCTACAGAGATGCCAAGGAATGCCTCAATCTTCTGTCACATAGACTAGGGACATCTCCATTTTTCTTTGGAAATATGTGAGTTCAGACATAATGTTTCAGTGCAAACAGAATGACACTTCAAATATTAAAATCCAGAATACTTTTTAAAAAGATCTCACAAATTGGAATCTTGGTGTTTTCCAAGTACTATTGCAAGTGGAATTATACACTTGCATGCCAGTGAAACAGCTACTGACAAAACAACAGTGTATTCCTTCATGCATCAGGCAGACTGTGTGCATTTTTTCTTTTCCTCTTAATAAGATGAAAAACACATAATGCTTATCTGTTTAAATAGTTATTTACTTTTTTTAAAATCAAAAAGTAACCTGTAAGATGGTTTTCAAATGCAAAAATTGTTCTATGCTTTGAAAGTAACCAGCAAGTACTTTATAATTATCTACGGAAAACATAGATAATTGTTGTGGTGGTAGTTGTTATAGTGCCCACCTGGACCAGTGGTCATTCTGGATGGTTCACAACCCCCCAAACTAACACACTGCAAGTGACCTTGTTATTTAACTTGTTACTTCCAAGCTCTGGAGGCAAAGCAAGGACTGAGGTCTGGAGTTTGTATAACTGTGTGCTGGCTTATTTATTGTTCAGTATGATTGTCCTGTTGTCTGCAAACAAGTTTAGAATATGACAACAGATTATGTGTTATAACTGTATGTGCAACACCCTTGATGTGTATAGTAAAACAGAGTATAGCTGGATGTAATGAACAACTGTTTCTTCTAAACTGTTCAATGGAGCTGTTTTATAATCATGATGATAGCATCCAGTTTTTAAAACTATTGTGAAAATGATGTATTTTATATAGTGTGAAACACATTTCGTTCCCCCATCAGTTCACTCATCTCACATTAGTGAGCAAAATATGAGACATGCAAGAATCTTCAAACACAGCTGGTATAAAATCTAGCTCTACTGTATATATTTTTCTTTATTTAGAAAGCGCCTTGTGGACGTTGAGGTAACAGTGTCCTTTATTTGTTATCTTTAGGCCTACAACTCTGGATGCCTTTGTGTTTGGTTTTCTTGCTCCTCTTTATAAAGCACCATTCCCCAAAGTTCTGTTACAAGATCACTTGAAACAGCTTCCTAATTTGTGTCGCTTCTGTGATGACATTTTGACTTGCTACTTTAGAGTAAACTTATCAGGTAAGTCATAGAGGTTTCCCTTTCATCATACACTGTTTTCAAAAGTGGAATATGTATACCTATGCTAAAAGAATACTAGACTTAATTTTTTTTCCAGACAAATGGGTGCCTATTATTTCCAGCATTTCAAGGATTTTTAAAACAGAGTATAAAGGACTTAGGGCCTTATAGCAAAAATCTAGTCTTTATATCTGCCAATGTAAAATACTGTAGATTTTAGCCTATCTTGATTAGGGTATGTGCAGTTCCTGGCTTTCTGTTCTTTGAGAAACACCTTTAAAGGTTAGAAAGGGGACTTGCAAATCTTCCTAACCCTTTTTCTCCTCCTGTATGTCTTGCCTATTTAGGCATCTCTCCATCAAGCCAAGACACAGTAGATGCAAATCTGCAGAAGCTCACACAGCTTGTAAACAAGGAATCCAACCTGATTGAAAAGGTTCCTTTTTATTTCAGTTTTTTGCACTTTTCTTTTGTTCACAACTGAGGACCAAACTAGACATGATGATGGCAGTTCAAGGCACTTGGGCCAGCTGTGTCTCTCAGATATAAACCGGTTGTGAGAGTCAGAAAGAAAAGGGGTTATAGAGCTAAACAGAGGAGAGCAGAATCCAACTCCCCCTACCCTGACTCCCACATTATCTTGCCACAAGTGCTTATTTCCATAATCAGCCTCTGATGTTGAAGGCGCCCTTGGCTGGGAGAAGAGCATTTTTGAAGGGGCGCTGGATAGAGAGAAACAGGAGGATGGATGGGATAATTAAGTTCACTTACAGCTTTTGCTTTTAGAATCACAGCCACCACATCAGTCTTTCTGCTTTTGGAGGGGAAAGTTCCATGGCGAGTCTTTTAAAAATGCAACCAACTATCAAGTCTAGTTTGGCCCCCAAATTAGTATCTTAGTAACCTTGCTAAATATAGTTCAGAAGATGTCGTATGACATGGCCGTTTAATTGTATTCAAGATTACATTGGTTAGCTCAGAAATTTCAGTATATTCCTTTGTTTCAAAAGTGAAGTAGGCAACAATGTTTGAATCCCTTGTTTTTCTTAGTAGGAGTATGTATCTACAGCAGTAAATCATGGATTTCATCAGTTATCTATAAGTTGGTAGAGGAATCTTATTAACCACAAAAGTCATATAAAGAATCTTTACAAAAGCTGAGAATCATCACATTAATTTTTGGTTTGCTGTTTAGATATGATTACCAGTGATTATCAAATAAAATGTCAGAACTTCAAAATAATATGGCTACACTCTATATTGCTGGTTCTGTCATTTCCCACCAGAAGTCATTAAGGCAGCAATCATGTACTCATTTACCTGGGTAGGTCCCAGTGAATTCAGTCAAGCTTACTTCTGAGTCGAAACCATAGGATTTCAGTGTGAATTGTAATGATACACGATTTGGTTGTGCAATATTTTTTTGGCTTGAAAGTATTTTTATCAGCCCTTGCCTCTTGAAAATTCATCATCCTCTTGCGATGTAAATAGTTGCTGCATTCATGTCACACTGAACACTCCTTACTGTTAACTAATCATTGCTGGTAATCTCTTCTAGTCTTACCATTGATTTCTATTTGCCTGCCAGTATGGAATGCAATCATATTCCTAGAAGTTATTTAGATGCTAACCTACAGCATGGAAATAGCATTTCCACAAATAGTTTTTGTGCCTCTGGAATTGAATTCAGTCTAACACCTATAATGATGGGAGGCATTGTCTGATCTTCTCCAAGGAATATGCAATCCTGTAAGAGGAGGGAGACCAAATTTCTGTATGGCAGACCCATTCCCATCTGCCCCTATTTGTGCAGCAAAGCATTTCTTGCATGGCTAAGGTAACAGTTAAAATTTATGTACCCTGGTACTGACCATACCTGGAATAACTGTGTTTGCAGATAAAGCAAAGGAAAGTGTGATGCTTATATCCCACCCCATAGCATTTAAAGCACTCTCTGGGCAGTTTACCATTTAATTATGCAGGCTACACATTGCTAGAACGGACATGCTTGTCAATTGCAATTCAACAACTGAAATATAAATCACATTTATAAATAGAGTAAAAGAATATTCACCTTTGGTCTTGAGGAGAATACTCCAATATGTTTTTAATTGCTTTATTGAAAATAGCATAATTGAATTTTTCATACAGATGCCTTCTTCAGATATCTGATTTGGCATATATATTATTTCTGCAGATGGATGATAATCTTCGTAAGAGTCCTCAGCACCCTCCACGGAAGCTGACAACTCTCAAGCTTTCTGCAACTGGGGAAGGAAACAGTTCACCAAACCGCTTATCGCCCTGAGAGTTTTAGTTTCCTATTTATACATATATTCTACTATGACGTCTGTCTCTAATCAAAGTTTGCACTAATTCTATGTGTCCATAGTACTGGGAGAAGGATGAATTGTCTAATCATTACAGGCACATTCATTTAAACAGTGCACGCTATGGACACAGACACATTAGATGTCCAAGTTGACTATAGGCAGAATTCTAGACTATTTGTACAGTTCAGTATATAGTCACCTTAAGTGCTGCATAATGCTTGCTTTTTAGAATTAGTTCATTTCTTGACCAAAACCTTGGATTTCACTCTTGAGAATATGCAAATAGATCAACTTCTTCTATTACATTAAGCTTCAGTTTTGATTACAATCATGTTATAGCTCAACTTTATTGCTGTGTATGGTAAAAGCTGCTTGATCACAACTTTTAATATTTTTATAGATTTTTAATGAAGTTCAATTACTGAAGGAAAATTAGAATATCATCTTACGTCCATGAAGAGCGACAAATAGTGGCTGAAATCCTGTGCCTTTGTTATACAAAAGTCATAATATTCTGGCATGCTTAAATGGCAAGCAATGAGTCCCCTTGGGATTCTCGAATAATCAGCAAGTCAGAGAGGATGTGCACCCTTGAGAATGCCTGCAGTGACTTGTTAATGGCAGGCTATGAATGGCAGAATGGTACACCTTTTACATACAAAAAGGTATATGATTTCAGCTGGAAAGGTATTTGCCATTTTGCTCAGGCTCTTATAAAATAACTATTGCACTGCCATTTCATATTAGTATCTCTGTTCAAGTCTTATCTTAATTAGAAATGGGTTAAGCTTGACCAGCCTGCATGGGAGCTTGTCCACTTTCAGTATTGCAATATATTAGCTTATTGACCTTACAGCTACCTATTTGACTTTCCAAGGTGCACCAGATGATGCCACAACCCATTAGAACAATTTTTCAAGGGCCTGCATAGGCAAATCACTCCCCTCAGCCATTCATCTAACATGAACAAGCTTTGCTTATCCTTAATCTGGATCCAGTTCATTATGTAAGGCTTCAGTTTATCTTGGCCTGACTTTAGATCCATTAGCCTTTGTTTTTATGTATTACTAAAATAACCAATGGTATAGATTTTCCTCTGGGTTAATACAGGTATGTAACTTAGTGGACTGAAGGGATAAAAAGGTGTGTTTGCGTTCTGCTATGCAGAGTTGATGATGAGCATTTCACCATAAATTAAGCTGTAGTGGCAGCCCACCATTCAGAACTGATATGTGCTCAGGTCTGTCCCTGGCAGTGCAACAGATGTGGAAATAATACACAGACAACATCTCTGTACGCACACTGTTGTGACTGTACGCATGGAGAACCCCTAGATCTGACTGACTGTGGAGCATGCATTTATACATTCATTTGTAACATTCTGTGTAATGTAATTATGTAACATTAATTTATGATGGCCTGAGATACATTTCATATTAATAATAGCTATGTCTGAGTCACCAAACAATTTTATTCTAATTATCACTGGCCAACTACAGTATTAGGTTGCAGTGTGGCCAGATAGCTCAAATCCTGGAGGCATGGGGACTAGTTTATAACAGCAGACCACATCGCAAATTGAGCAAGAGGCAAAATGTCTGGAAACACTCCCCACTGTTATCTTGAGGATCTCATTCTATACAAGAATGACAAAATTAGGGTGGGGTGTGGGGACCAGAGGCTGGTCAAGGATCATTGTTGGTCCTCACTGTTCTAAAATATAATTCTGAATGTGCAGTATATCCAAAAATATTTTTGAAATAATACTCAGCTAAAGTGGCAACTGTCCTGAATCAACTGATCATTTGAGTTCTGATTCTAAAGAAATAATTTTAATACAGAAATAAAGTACATCTGACTTTCATCTGATTTTATTTTGTCCAGTCAACCAAATGTGATATTTTTCCTCTAAATTATTTGCAGTGTTCTGTATATGGAGGGGAAGAGCTGTATAAACAAGTGTGTAAATCATGTATATAAATGTACTTAGAGAATATTACTTTGTAAATTAAGGAATGTAAAGATCTTTCTCCTATCTTGTTATTTATAACAGTACTTTTAATGTATAGCAAGAATAAATTTAAGTTTCATGTTACTTCTAGTATGTGGCTTTTAGATTTTTCAAGCTGCAGATGCTGCACACATTAGATAATCAGGAGAGGCTTTTCTCTCCGTCCCACAACCTTCACAGTTGCATTTGTTGGGTACATGGGAGAGGGCCTTCTCTGTTGCTGCTCCCAGACTTTTGAATTCCCCCCTACATGAAGCCAGGCTGGCCCCATTTTTACTGTCTTTCCACAAGCAGGTGCAGACCTTTCTCTTCAGGCAAGCTTCCCCTTAGTAACTGGCTGCCTGAATAAGGTTTTAAATAGATTGTTATACCTTACTGCTTTGAATATGTTTTGGTATTGCTTATGTTCTGTAGTATGGCATCTGTTTGATCCTTTTCAGTATTTGTATACTCACTATTGTTAGCTTTAAATACTGTCTTTTAATGATGTAATCCACCTTGGGTCCTTTTTAAGGAGAAAGATGGGGTAAAATATGA